CATATATGCAAGGTCATCTTGATCTCGGATGTCTGGTGCTGAGATCAACAAGATGTCAGCCTCACGTCAGCCTCATCCTCTGAAGTTGATTTCTTTCCTGCACCTCTACCTTCCCCTGGGCAACAGTCTTTGCCCACCAGGGTAGCAGAAGCACCATGCAATTCTGTGCACTCCATCAAGAATTTGTGATAATTTGTGCGCTCTTGCTGCTCCTCAACTGAATATTCTTGGCATCGAAAACTTCATCCAAAATCGCACAAGAGCATCAAAATGTCATCATGCAATGTTCTCCTCAGCTTCTATGCGTTCCCGGGAACACGCCAGCACTGCATTCCCCAAACAGACGTGGCCCCAGAGCAAACCAAAAGATGAACGCAACCAAGGAGATTGCCATAGCATCGCTACAGTCCAAGCATCAGCGTGGCTATCTGCTGTATGACCTGCTTTGCCAAGCCAAAATCGTTTCATATCGTTTCCAAAGTCGATGGCATCTGCACAACCAATTCCTGCAGAAGCCGGATGGACTTGAAAGTTTGGATTCACTACGGGCAACTCAGAACACAGAAACGCATATATGCAAGGTCATCTTGATCTCGGATGTCTGGTGCTGAGATCAACAAGATGTCAGCCTCACGTCAGCCTCATCCTCTGAAGTTGATTTCTTTCCTGCACCTCTACCTTCTCCTGGGCAACAGTCTTTGCCCACCAGGGTAGCAGAAGCACCATGCAATTCTGTGCACTCCATCAAGAATTTGTGCGCCCTTGCTGTTCCTCAACTGAATATTCTTGGCATCGAAAACTTCATCCAAAATCGCACAAGAGCATCAAAATGTCATCATGCAATGTTCTCCTCAGCTTCTATGCGTTCCCGGGAACACGCCAGCACTGCATTCCCCAAACAGACGTGGCTGCTAGCCTTGGGCCCTGGCTGTGCTGTGGGCCCCAGAGCAAACCAAAAGATGAACGCAACCAAGGAGATTGCCATAGCATCGCTACAGTCCAAGCATCAGCGTGGCTAGCTGCTGTATGACCTGCTTTGCCAAGCCAAAATCGTTTCATATCGTTTCCAAAGTCGATGGCATCTGCACAACCAATTCCTGCAGAAGCCGGATGGAATTGAAAGTTTGGATTCACTACGGGCAACTCAGAACACAGAAACGCATATATGCAAGGTCATCTTGATCTCGGATGTCTGGTGCTGAGATCAACAAGATGTCAGCCTCACGTCAGCCTCATCCTCTGAAGTTGATTTCTTTCCTGCACCTCTACCTTCCCCTGGGCAACAGTCTTTGCCCACCAGGGTAGCAGAAGCACCATGCAATTCTGTGCACTCCATCAAGAATTTGTGATAATTTGTGCGCTCTTGCTGTTCCTCAACTGAATATTCTTGGCATCGAAAACTTCATCCAAAATCGCACAAGAGCATCAAAATGTCATCATGCAATGTTCTCCTCAGCTTCTATGCGTTCCCGGGAACACGCCAGCACTGCATTCCCCAAACAGACGTGGCCCCTGTGCTGTGGGCCCCAGAGCAAACCAAAAGATGAACGCAACCAAGGAGATTGCCATAGCATCGCTACAGTCCAAGCATCAGCGTGGCTAGCTGCTGTATGACCTGCTTTGCCAAGCCAAAATCGTTTCATATCGTTTCCAAAGTCGATGGCATCTGCACAACCAATTCCTGCAGAAGCCGGATGGAATTGAAAGTTTGGATTCACTACGGGCAACTCAGAACACAGAAACGCATATATGCAAGGTCATCTTGATCTCGGATGTCTGGTGCTGAGATCAACAAGATGTCAGCCTCACGTCAGCCTCATCCTCTGAAGTTGATTTCTTTCCTGCACCTCTACCTTCCCCTGGGCAACAGTCTTTGCCCACCAGGGTAGCAGAAGCACCATGCAATTCTGTGCACTCCATCAAGAATTTGTGCGCTCTTGCTGTTCCTCAACTGAATATTCTTGGCATCGAAAACTTCATCCAAAATCGCACAAGAGCATCAAAATGTCATCATGCAATGTTCTCCTCAGCTTCTATGCGTTCCCGGGAACACGCCAGCACTGCATTCCCCAAACAGACGTGGCTGCTAGCCTTGGGCCCTGGCTGTGCTGTGGGCCCCAGAGCAAACCAAAAGATGAACGCAACCAAGGAGATTGCCATAGCATCGCTACAGTCCAAGCATCAGCGTGGCTAGCTGCTGTATGACCTGCTTTGCCAAGCCAAAATCGTTTCATATCGTTTCCAAAGTCGATGGCATCTGCACAACCAATTCCTGCAGAAGCCGGATGGAATTGAAAGTTTGGATTCACTACGGGCAACTCAGAACACAGAAACGCATATATACAAGGTCATCTTGATCTCGGATGTCTGGTGCTGAGATCAACAAGATGTCAGCCTCACGTCAGCCTCATCCTCTGAAGTTGATTTCTTTCCTGCACCTCTACCTTCCCCTGGGCAACAGTCTTTGCCCACCAGGGTAGCAGAAGCACCATGCAATTCTGTGCACTCCATCAAGAATTTGTGCGCTCTTGCTGTTCCTCAACTGAATATTCTTGGCATCGAAAACTTCATCCAAAATCGCACAAGAGCATCAAAATGTCATCATGCAATGTTCTCCTCAGCTTCTATGCGTTCCCGGGAACACGCCAGCACTGCATTCCCCAAACAGACGTGGCTGCTAGCCTTGGGCCCTGGCTGTGCTGTGGGCCCCAGAGCAAACCAAAAGATGAACGCAACCAAGGAGATTGCCATAGCATCGCTACAGTCCAAGCATCAGCGTGGCTATCTGCTGTATGACCTGCTTTGCCAAGCCAAAATCGTTTCATATCGTTTCCAAAGTCGATGGCATCTGCACAACCAATTCCTGCAGAAGCCGGATGGACTTGAAAGTTTGGATTCACTACGGGCAACTCAGAACACAGAAACGCATATATGCAAGGTCATCTTGATCTCGGATGTCTGGTGCTGAGATCAACAAGATGTCAGCCTCACGTCAGCCTCATCCTCTGAAGTTGATTTCTTTCCTGCACCTCTACCTTCCCCTGGGCAACAGTCTTTGCCCACCAGGGTAGCAGAAGCACCATGCAATTCTGTGCACTCCATCAAGAATTTGTGCGCTCTTGCTGTTCCTCAACTGAATATTCTTGGCATCGAAAACTTCATCCAAAATCGCACAAGAGCATCAAAATGTCATCATGCAATGTTCTCCTCAGCTTCTATGCGTTCCCGGGAACACGCCAGCACTGCATTCCCCAAACAGACGTGGCTGCTAGCCTTGGGCCCTGGCTGTGCTGTGGGCCCCAGAGCAAACCAAAAGATGAACGCAACCAAGGAGAGTGCCATAGCATCGCTACAGTCCAAGCATCAGCGTGGCTAGCTGCTGTATGACCTGCTTTGCCAAACCAAAATCGTTTCATATCGTTTCCAAAGTCGATGGCATCTGCACAACCAATTCCCGCAGAAGCCGGATGGAATTGAAAGTTTGGATTCACTACGGGCAACTCAGAACACAGAAACGCATATATACAAGGTCATCTTGATCTCGGATGTCTGGTGCTGAGATCAACAAGATGTCAGCCTCACGTCAGCCTCATCCTCTGAAGTTGATTTCTTTCCTGCACCTCTACCTTCCCCTGGGCAACAGTCTTTGCCCACCAGGGTAGCAGAAGCACCATGCAATTCTGTGCACTCCATCAAGAATTTGTGCGCTCTTGCTGTTCCTCAACTGAATATTCTTGGCATCGAAAACTTCATCCAAAAGTGCAGAGATTCCTCCTTGATATCAAGGTGGGATGGTCTTGTCCAGGATTTCCCGTCAATCTCAGCAAGTTCTTGTTGCCTTCCCGTTGAACAGAGGGATCTAGTGCGCCTTTGGATGGCATATTCAGTCCAACGTGCCAGCTGAACAAAAACTTATGTCCTTGCCTCTGACTCTGGCTCGATCGCGAGCCTTTGGAGTTTCTAGAATTTGGTCGCAAGGCTCAAGCGCTTGTGAGGTGACTTGCCTAACTGATTGAAAACCAATACACATTCTGAAGAAGATGTTAGTTTTTGGATGTTTTTGGCATCAAACAAGTCTCCTCAGCTGATTTCAACTAAGCCAACAGCCACAGCTGCCGTAAAACTGGCTGTACTTTGAAAGTGAACTGGTGTTTTCATCACGAACCCCGTGATGTCCATGCACTAATGCCAACTATTCTTCACAATGTGAAGCGAAGTGTTTGGCCAAACTGGATCATTTCTAATGGTGACAGGGCATATTCAGCTGACTCTGTGGGTGGACATCGTTGTGTTCACTTTCAATCTTTCAATGGAGCCTACAGCTCGAAGCATTTTCAAATTCAAACACCTTTGGGTAGGGTCGCCTCTAGACGTTTGGCTACCCATATCTCTATATGTATGGCTGTTTATGAATATATGACGTGCATACACTAATAGATATCTCGTAATACAAATCTCCGTCTCGCTTCGGCTGTGCTGCTCCCTCCCCAAATCACACCACCAATTTACCCTGCCATGGGAACTGTGCCAAAGGTCGCCACGCCGCTTCAGACTGGTGGGAATTTGCGCGCATCCGAGTTCAAATGAAATGTGGTCGAGGGGACTGTAATGCTTACAGTAAATAGTGGAATCAATCATTTGGCAAGCATACGCAGCTGTACTATCATGTTTCATCATATATATTTCATACATGTACATCCTAGTATTCAAGCTCTCCCTGCTGTTCATTCTGTTGCCAACGACATGAAAACGACAGCAGGCAGGTGTGGCTGCAAGATTCCCACTCAGCCATATCACGGGCGACCCCTGAAAACAACAACCATTGCAGGGTTCGGTGTCTGTACAGGTTAAATGTCAACCCTAGATCAATATTTCCCTTTGCTTGATTGAGAATGGGGCTCTAAACAGCAACGATTCCCTTTGAGAGCGATACGGTGCACATTCATATCAACCAGGGTTTATTGCTCCAGGGTCGACATTATGGTGTACCCATCATCCACTCATCGGCCGTTGCTCTTTGCGTCCACAGTCCGTTGGCACAAACGGCCCTCGGACGTGGCGGGTCCTGCCCTGCCTCCCAGCTGCGCTTCAAGGCCTCCGTCCAACCCAGACAGTTCTTGAAGCCCATTCAAGATCTCTTTGGTAATCAACCGCTGCATCCTTTCCTTCTCATCCAAAGGTGTCCCACAAGCACTGCCACCGCATCTTTGCAAGAATGGTAGAAATACCTTCACTGAAGTGTTCCAGAATAGCCTCATCAAGCTGGAAGTGAGAACCACATCGGACCGGGTTCTCATGAACTGCGCATGAGTCTTGCAAGCGTTCTTAAGATCAATACTCTCCCGGCACTCATCGAGGAGCTTACATGCCAAGCCAAAGTAACTAGTCACCAGATCACAAGCCGCGATCGCCTGACCAGCAAAGGCAATTTCTATCTCATGAACTTTTGCATAGGCGCTTTTTGCACCATCAAGCATAGCAGATCGAATGCGCAGCAGCTCATCTTGCTCCTCAGCTTGCTTCTCAACTTGCTGCTGGGAAGAGAAGTTTTGAAGGCCTTCGTCCAACTCATGAAGTTCATGCAGCAAAGCCTTCGTGACTTCTTCATTGTCCTTGAAGAGTTTAATGCATTGCTGAATCGACATTGATCCTGAAGGCTGGGGATACCCGGAGGGCATGTCCAGAGTCTGCAACCTGTCCACAACAAACTCTGCAGTGGCGATGGGTGCCACAGCTTCTGCAAGTGCTCGCAATTTGGAAACCCCAGCATCAAAAATGCCGCCATCCACTTTGGCACCACGAGCAGTCAACTTCTCCGCCACGTTCCAGAAGCTAGCCTTAGGGTTTCAAACCCGCTCCTATTTGTGAAATGGGCATGGTCCCTTTGAAGAGGACACGTGGAACTATTAAAGCCAGCTCATGATAGGTTGTACTGTACCCTGCCCAGTTTTGAACAGGAGCTAGAGTCAGTTGGAGAGGCTTATTCTACACATGCCATTGACTTCTGGTCATCTAGTTTCAAAACCATGCCACCCACATGCGGCCATCAACACAAAGAGTTGTCTTCTAGATCACTTGAATTTGCGATCTAGCTCACTTCTCAACGGATCAGACAAGAATTGCCACAGAATCCTTGCAAGATCTTGCAAATTGCTTTTCATGCTTTTCATAAAGATAAACGACCTGGGCTTCAGACCTCCAAAAGTTCAAAAGTCTTGGCGCCAAACACTGCTCACAGGCTCCACCCATTTTCCCACACACATCCCCCACCACAGACCAGTTTCATCCCAGAAACCTTGATCGCTGCCAGCAGAGGCGTGTTTCCCTGATCATCCGCCTTGTCCACATCCACATCTGTTTCCTCCAGAAACAAGTCGGCCACCTGACATGGAACAAGTTCGGCCGACTCCAAATGCATGGGCTGGGACAATATACAAGTTACTGCAGACACTGGCACATTGAGATATTGAATGATGATAAATACAGTGTTTTCGACACTGCTCATTTGTGCTGCAGCTTCCGCAGTTCCCATGCTCTCCAAACCCAGCTGAAGCGGAACGCCTCCTCATGACCGTTCAGTATCGCAACGAGGAGCGGAGTTTTCTGATGCCCGGGAGTTTGATTGGCGTCGGCATGGCCACACCCCAAAAGCATTCTACAGACCTCACGTTGACCCTTCATTGCTGCAACATAGAGAGGGGATGCACCACTCTCAATGGATATCTTTGGATCCGCGTGCTTGTCAAGCAGCTCCCTCACAATGTCGTTAAATCCTTTCCTCGGTGCAGATCTGCGTCTGCTATCCACGTTGGAAAACGCATTAATTTGATCTCCTGTCTGAGAATGTTTTCAATCAATCCTCCAATTCGGTTTTCTCCACATTCATTCCCTTATCAGGTCTTTAATTCGGGCAACTACTGTATCATTACAATATCATGACCAAGGCTCTGAGAGCTGATAAAAAGGGATGTGGCACCATTCATGTTTTGCGCGTTCGGATCTGCTTGTGCACCCAGCAACAGTCTGAAGACGTCAGTGTGGTGGTTCTGGCAAGCTATGTACAGTGGAGTCGTTTTGTCATGCTTGCCCTGGTTGACATCTGCATCTGCTTGAAGAAGATAGCGCACAACAGTCGTATGACCACCTTTCGGGAAAGGCAAGGTGATCATAGGCAATCAAACATGTAGAAGCTTCATCAGCTGGAGATCTAGATACAGTACTTGATCATACTTGATCCCACTCAGGGGGGAACGCAAGTCTCAGTAAATTGTTTCGATGTACCGGACGCAGCTGCTCGCATCTGGCTATCCAATAAGCACATCACAGTGTCAGTCCATGAAAGGTGTACAGACACCAACAACCTACCACAAAAAAATGATGGACAAGTGGAAGAACTGCTATCTTAAAATATATAGTCTCAATATGTCTTCATTCTTCATGTTGCACAAACACACCTCACGCCCCTGACCTTGGCTTGCGATAAACAAAGGAGTTTCCTTGGTGTCTAAGGGCTCATTCACACCTCAGTTGCGGCAATAGGGCCCACAACTTTTGGTGTGGAGATGTGTGGAGTGAGAACCTGACTTCATAAAAAACATATAAACAGCATCATCAAGCAAACGCGGACATATACGGACATCATGGACCAACACCAGAGGACTTCGATTATGCAAGTTTCATCAAATCTTTGCTGAGGTGGCGCAGTGCTTGAGGCACTGACGGGTTTCGGGGTCCCGTCTTTTGGACACGTGTGGATTAGAGACTTCTGCGAATTGAGTGGCACCTGGCTTTCATATGTTATACTTCCACACAGCCAAAGTAGTTCCGAAATTCCTTTATCAAGTCAGTCTGCAAATACAGAATGGACATGTATCTGGGAATTGAGAGGAGAGCTAGAAACCGAATATCTCTGGGGGCTACTGTAGGAGTTAGAAACAAGGTATCTCTAAGTAGTACGCAGCTATATCGTCCAAATAAGGAATTCGTAATACCGATGTTGATAGTTGATTAAGGAAAATTAGGGATGTATACTAGATACAGATGTAGGAAACAAAACGTGGATACAACACCTATTCAATTAAGAGAGCCCACGGAAGGGAGATTCTTTTGCAGTCGAGGGTCTGGCACCAAGACCGAGCAAATGGGACACCACTTGGGGGTGCCCATTTTGCGATGCCAAGTATAGCGCTGATGCACCACCCTTCTTCTTGTGGTTGATCATCTGCCGATCCAACAGTTGTAATATGGGGATTGGTGTAAGTCCAGGTTGGGAGCAACGCATTCAGAAAGTTTGCCATTTTGGGGCATTGAATTATTGAACATTATGAAACCATTTAATATATTTTGGGGGGCTATTGACTTTGACCCATATCATCCCATATTCTGTGTCTTCTACCTGGTTTTGACCTTCAGGGAAAGTAGTTCATTATAGGGGGCTCATCAGCCAAGCAGGGATGGGACCAGAGAATGTGTGCTGTCTCTTGGAATCACCTAGCATGGTCTTGAATCAAACATGAACCAATCCATCTGCAGGAAATCGTCTGTTGCCTGCCTGTTGCATCTTTTCTGCCGGAAATGCACTCAGCTCCTTGGAAGGCAAGATGTTGTCACGCCAATTTTTTGCTTCAGTTGAACCCAAACCTTCAAATATACGACACAGAGATGAATTGGGATTTTCGGGCATTCTTGCCACAATGGTTTTTACGATGGTGAGACTGGTGAGATGGGAGTTTCCATGAGTTTCCTGTTCCAAAGATTTTGTGGTTGATGAGTGATGTATTTTTGGTGGCCGTTTTATTCTTCTCTTTGTTTCACCGTGTTTTGTTTTTGGCACACGTACAAAAAATAATGGTGCTGGGAAATTCCCAAGTAAATCAATTGTGAAAGTTGTTTATGAATCTTATGCCGGAATTACCGGAGAAAAAAAAGGACCCACCTCGTGGCATGAACTCTGAAGGCAGTAATGTCCCAAACAAAAGAAACAAGAATCCCAAGAAGTAGGTGCCATGGCTGAGTGTTGAAAAGCTGAGTGAAAACATACAGCGGAGTTTTCCTCTTTCAATGCCTTCTGCTCATGCAGAATACTGTCCTAAGAAACATGTATACTCGGAAAGGCACCAGCCATCTTCGGGGAATTAGGTCCCCAGCCATCCCACCACCCACTTGCCCCTGTTGCCCTGTCGGGGGCGCGTCAAGCCACAGTGGTCAAGAGTTCAACAACATCAAAATGTCCATTTTGCGCTGCCACCAACAGGGGCGCAGATTCGTCGTCGGTTTGTTGCATCAGTTGGGATTCTTCGTCTGGCCTGTCAGCTTGCAAGAGTTGCAAAAGACCGGACTGCCAAGATGCTGCAGAATTCAGCAGCAAAATATCGTGACTTCGGGAACTTCCAAAATATCGCTGGCGGCACGTTCGCTGATTCAAAAACGCTATGTGTTCTGTTTTGACAAATATGTGATGAAATCTTGACACGCATGATTGTTGTAAAATCACTGAAAAACGATGAGATTTATAGTGCAAATGGTTGCTGCTCCCTGTGCCAGCTCGTACCTCGGGCTCTCGCACTCAACGTCCAGAAGGAAGCGCACAACTGTCACATGACCGTTTTGTGCAGCAATGAAGAAGGGTGATGCACCGCCACATGACTTCTCCCTGGTGTCGGCACCTTCTTGTTGCAGGTATTTCCCAACGTCAAGGTGGCCGTTCTGAGCTGCAACATACAATGGACTTGTTCCATTCTGCAGGCACATGTTTACCAAGGATGTGTTGGCAGCAACCAGGTCTTGGACAACCTCCAGGTACCCATTCTGTGCTGCAACAAATAGTGCAGTTGCTCCACTTTTCATTGCCTTCGTGACATCCACTTTCTTCTCCAATAGAAAGCGAACAGCTTCTTGGTGTCCATTCTGCGCTGCAATCAGAATCGGAGTCGCCCCATCATTTGCGTTAAGGTTGGCATCAACGCCCGGCGCTTCCATCAACAATGCCAGCGCTTTCATGCAGCCTCTTTGCGCGGCAATGTAGGTTGGGGAGGCACCACCAGCGGTGCAGGCGTTGATGTCTGCTCCCGCGTCAAGAAGACACCTGACAATGTCCCCGTGATCATTCCTCGGAAGCGTTCTGAGAGTCCAATCAGTTAAATTTTGAGCAATCAATCCAAAAATGGTTTCAAATGAGCACTATGCAACATACTATCCAAGACATACCTTCTTCTATTCAAATGCTTCGAAATGTTTGAATGTGGGGCTGGTATTTGCACAACCACACAGTGGCAACATATTTGCACATCACTTGCTCTAAGTTTCAAAATGCCAAAACAAGTCCAAATTGTGCCATGGAAGCCAGGCTGCTGTGAGGCAATGAATAGCGGAGTCGCTTTCGTGCGATTGGCTCGTTCAATCTCACCGTTGAATTCCAAGAGCTTCTGGACAATTCTAAAGTGACCCATCTGAGCAGCAATGAACAAGGGTGTTGCTAGGTCATTTGTCTGCGAGTTTGGGTGCGCTCCAAAGGCCAAAAGTACTTCAGCTACCTGCAGGTGGCCATTCTGACAGGCAACATACAATGGAGTTGCATTGGTGTGCAATGCTAGGTCAGCCTGGGCTTGGTGATCAAGCAAGAATTTCACTGCAGAGAGGCATCCACCCTGGCTTCCAATGAACAAAGCCGTGGCACCACTTCTGTCCTTGGCAGTTCAATCAGACCAGGTCGAGAAGGATCGGTTGCAGAAGGCAGAGATGGCGATGCTAGCATTGGAAGACCATTAAATACACGATGCAAACAACAGTTGCAACATGTTGGGTTTGCCGGGGGGTTTGCCGTGAGTCGGAATGAGTTTGCAAGAAGGGTAACATATGTTAAGATCATGTATGTCCATCCGCAGCCGTTTAGTAGGAGGATGTAGGAGGAAATTTCATGGTATTTTCAGTGTTTTTCATTGGTTTCACATTAGCATTTGCAAGATGTTTGCATGATAAGGGATGATTGTTTGAGCCAGGTTCATGTTTTGCGAACAAGATTTTTTCGCAGGATCCCGCGGAAAAATTAGCAGGATTTTTGAACTTGTGATTTGTTGGAAACAGAAATAAAGTTGTGTGTTTTATTGGAACAGCATAATTAGATTTCCTTCGGAGCCATGTTGAGTTTCGATGAATTGTTCGAATGTTTGGTGCTATTGTTCGATGAATTGTTCGAACGTTATTACTCCCCCCCATGTTTTTGTTTCGACCTAATACCTACAGAGGTACATGCATGAGTATTGAGCACATTTATATGCGCCCTTCAAGGCTCAAGAGGTATATAGAGTAACCCTGTGGACAAGCACTGACCGGCAACCCAGGCTGAGAGTAAAATAGTGCTGTCATTGGGGAAGACGCCTTAGCTGATCTTGAAGTAGACGCTAGGGCCCCTCTTCACCCCACCCCAACCCCCCCCCACCCCCCCACACCCCACGGACAGCTATTCCAATGTTGGATAATGAGTTTTATGGAACGCAAGCTGCCTGAACGTTATTACTCCCCCCCCAACCCCCCCCACCCCCCCACCCCCCACCCAATGGTCACAAGCTCAGAAACCTTGTTTGCTTCGGCAAACCCCTACGGTTGACCCAACATGTTGCAACCCTATATCTTAAATGAGTTTAATTGACGCGCCAACCATTGTGACGATTGGCTCTCTCTTTCTCTTTCTATGCCTGTACCAACTTTCCAAGTACTCAAATGAGTGAGTCTACTTGCTGCGCATCATGGGAGTGGGGGAGTGGTGAAGGTTCTGAGAATGGCGATTCTTGGGAACATGTCGGGGCAGAGCCACAAAAGAAAGATAGCACGCAAGAATACTTGGACTAGTTGGACGCATTGTCTCAACTTGTCTCAACTTGTCTCAACTAAGATGATGAATGTCGATTGTTTCCCATGGCATAATTCCTCATGGAGATAATACTTGGACCAAAAGGTAGCAACATGTACTGTAGCAGTGCTCATGAACCACTCTGAGGTTGACTGGTAGACCGTTGACACCCGTTCTTGAAGCAGTGACTTGCTGGTCTCTGTGCGCCTCGCAAGCCTCGCAGCCAAGAAACCTGCAAATTCAAATTTGCGCATGCCAAGTCCAACAACTCGAGTTTGTTCACGTCATCGTTCCTTGCCGCTTTGTGGACGGCGGTCTCTCCTCTCACTTCTCTGCGATCAAGAGCATCAGGATCTTGATACTTCTCCAAGTGGCCTGTGCAATGCCCATTTTCACATTCATGTCTATGGATGGATGGATACAGTATGTGGTGGCTCGTATCTTGAACTTGCAAATATATCCTCAAACATCATTCAACAAAAGAGGTGCTTTCCAGCCATTTGGAGGTGCTTTCCAGCCTTTAAGCTCGTAGTCCGCATGAACGCCTAGTTGGGCAGCAACCCTGAGGAAATCTTTGGCGCTCTCTGGGTCTTCGCAAAAGTTGCAGCCCAAGGTCGCAAAAATCATCTTGGGTTTCCCAAGAGCTTCCCATGAAGTGTTGCTCTCTGGGACCTTGTGTCCTCAATGGCAGAAGCGGCTGGACTAGAATCTGGCAAAAAATGCCATTGTCATTTTTTTCGAGGGTAGCAATGTTGCAGTGTGTTGAAATACACCCAGTATTCACAGTAGATTGATGCGGGCGTCCTATGGCTACTCGAATGGCAAAGTACGACACCCTCTCGCCGTTCTTGAATTTCATGTCTCGGACGTAATGCTTGAGGAAGGAAACTACATCAGGAGGCTCTGCCAGAAGCGATGTAGGAAGTGCGATTGGCTGTCCACCAAGACCGATGTGCAGCTCTACATAGTCAAGAAGCCCTAGCAGCCTGGAAGGATCGAGACTCTGGAGGTCACATTCGGAGTTCCCTTTCGTCAGATGCTCCAATATATGTGCCATCGGCAAAAAATAGCATGGTTTATGGCCATTTCATTATCAGGGATTCCTTAGAATGGGTATAGAAGTCCTGACGGACTGATGACCAGATGACCATCCCCCAATCTGGGTATGTAATCCAACTTTTGGCAAATATGGTTGTGACTCCCCCTTAATGATACCATAGGTCTTACCTCTTGCACTGAACTATCTTGAAAAAAAAATTTACCGTTGGGGCACGGGGGGGCCACTGTTGGGCCTTCGTAACTTCTGGGAGAGCTGCTGACTTGCCAATTTATGAGATCAACATAGATCAATTGATTCAACATATCTCTAAATAAAAGAGCACGGACTGACTTCAGTGCCGGGCGACTCCTCTGGGGCTCCAACTTCAGTGGCTAGGTCGAAAGGAGTCTTGCCCTCCGAATCCCTTTGGTCCAAGCGGGCATCGTTCTCTAGCAATGCCATCACCACCTCCACATGCCCTTCCACTGCATGGAAGTGCAAAGCTGTTCGTCCACGTGCATCTGCGAAGTCGACATCAGCTCCAGCCTTTGCCAATCTTCTGATGATCTCGGCAATGATATCTGGAGCTCTGAAACACTCTGGATAGTGTGCAAGAGCCGCAAACGCAGCATTTGCTGTGGAACCAAGATCATGGGCATAGCGAATGGGACTGGGCTTGCTACATAGATCAGCTCCCTCTTTGCACAGAAGTTTGATGATCGCTGGAGAGTCCAAAGTCACTGCATGACGAAGAGGTGTGAGGCTCCTAGGATTTGCTGACCGTGACTCAGGAAAAAACATATCCAAAAGATTCAAAAAGCGAAAAAAGTGTAGTTATCTGCAGCTGTATAGCATCTTGAGTGTTGTAATTGTCAAAATTGTTGTTGTTGGGAGGAGCAATGTATAGATGTACAAGCCATGGCTGCTTCATGTGAAAGGGTAAACGAGACGAAGCACGACCCGGGATACCCCTACGTAAGTGCGTAGTCAGAAATCTGTGCCAATTTGCGAGGGTGGAGAGTCAAAGGATGTAGAAGGTGTGTCCCCTTCCCACGTGCAAGGTGAAATTCTAAACTGCGTCCGCAACATCTACTTGCAAGGATTGGAAGGGGATGCCATCCCAATGGCTAGTCATCTAAGATCATCTAAGTGTTGCTATCCAAGGTTCCCATGCTGTGGATGCTGATATTCTTGATTTACGTCCACTCGGCTTCTGATCAACTCTTGCAGCTCCATGATATCATCGGATGAGGCTTTCTTCACGGCTTGGTGCAGCGCCAGCGCCTGGAACCAGGGCAGTGAAGCATTTTTCGGACACCGCGCGTGGGCATGCAACGATGCAACTTGGTTGTGGGGCAAACTTGGATACCAATCTTACCTGCAATGTTGTTGTTTCCAGATGAAGATGTCAAATGTATGCGGTCTTGAAAATTGTGACCCATGGTTCCTAGAACCGCCCTGCGGCTTGGGATGAACACAAAGGAAGATTAAGGCCACTCTAGATAGAGAAACAAGCAGATGTCCCCAAGTTTGAGGCTTGAGGTATTCAAATTGGTATTCAAGTGTTCCAAAAAAAACAAAAAGGAGAAAAAGGAGGCACCCTACACCCGAAAGTGACCAACGGAAGGTGCCTGTTGGAGCTTCTGGGACTTGTCTAACAGCTGAAGCAACGAGGTCGATTTGCTGAGATCTGTCTGGTTGGCGTCAATGAACGCCTTAAGGGTGCGGTAGAAATCTACAAAGCTTACGTCATTGGACTGCCAAACATCATGGAAGTACCACTCCACGCTGTTGGGCGGTCCGAATCTCTGCCGGTTGGAGTGAAACCTGGCATGGGAAAGGCCATCCCTTTGGGCTGTGGCCATCACGAGTTCCTTTTCGCTAACATCCGAAGCAAACAGGCGTGCAAGGGCATCCTGCTGGACGGCTGCAGTGATAACCTCTTGGTCTCTCTGGAGTTTCTCTGAAGCAAATTGCAGCGCAAGGCCCTTGTTTCGGACTGCTGCCATCACGACCTCTCTGTCGCTCTGCAGGTATTCACAAGCCAGTTGCAGCGCAAGGCCATCCTGCTGGACTGCTGCCATGACTGTTTCCCGGTGGCTTCCGAGAAACTGACTGGCAAATTCCAGCCTAAAGAGGGATCTGCACATAGTGACCAAGACAGTGCGATGCATCCCCTTGAACTGAACCAGTACATCTTCCACAAAGTGTGCAGCAGCGTTGCATCGCTCATCCGATGCACATTCTCCACCAGGGTTGTACTTCGCAGTCTCATAAATCTTTCGAGAAGTCAAAGCCAAAGATTGCTGGAGATCTTTCAGGTTAATCTCTGCATGCGCCGAAATGACTTTGGCCGGTCCCGTTCTCCTCTCCATCGCTTCGGGACCCTGAAATGCTTCCTGCAGTTGCTGCCTCTTCTTCTCTGATGTCTGGCCAACCAGGCAATAAAAAGTACGAATTCTATAGGACAATCTCTGCCCTTGAGAACCTGTACTAAGGCTCTCCAGCTCTCCCCATTGCTTCGCAAAGAGGTCGGTTGTGAAGTACATGCGATCCATGATGGCCGTGAAACTTTTGGACGGGCAAGGTTTCTTTGGAAGGCTTTTTCGCCCCGCTGACCCACCTGCCTTTCTGCCCTCAAACTTTTCCTCCTCCGCAACAGGTCATATTGTTCAGGTGTGAATGTGTCTGTCATGGTCATTCTCAGAAGAGCGACTGAAGGGGAATCACCGTCCTACCCATGGTCGGTCTCTGCTTGTCTGGAGCAATATTGAATTAAAGGCCTTTGCATCCCTGGGTTCCGGATATGCAAAGTTTCAGGATTCGAGGTTGCTTGGAATCTTGGAATGGGTGTGCAAGTTGCTAGGTTTAAAGCTTACTGCCTTCCAGACTTTTGACATCTTTTACAGGTCAATACACCTTCTTCTGCGGAAAAAGCTGAGAATTTGCTTGGTCTAGGGTCACATGTATGTTTCATGGGAAAGCTGGCTTCATGAGGCAAAGCATCGAGTAACACTCCTTGTTGAGGGGCTCCTCAACAGTCTTGCCTTTGCAGCGGGAGTCTTCCTGCGAAATGCAGACGCAGGGCAAGGATGATAGCAAGATTCCGCAAGTTGCAATCGTCAAGGCCATAAGGAAGTCCTGTCCAATAGGATCTTCCTCATCTATGCCCATAGTGGAAAATCCCCTGATATACTGTTTATACCAGTTGGTTTGGTAGCATGACACTCTGCATGACATCACATGTGCATAGAGTCCTTCAGCAGGTTGCTATGTGAGACACAGAAGCATTGGATTGCCCTTCGAGGAAACTATGCACTTGTCAGCTAGCCCCAGATTTACGATTTACCGTACCTTGAAACCTCAGGCATGTGTATGAGACACAAATCATTGCGAATCATTGCATACGAATCATTGCATGTGCGCCAAAGAGTCATAAAGTCCTGGATGTTCTGCTGAATGGAGGGAACATCCATCCTCAAATTCAGACGGAAATCCCTTGTGCTGTTTGTGATGGAATCAGGCAATATGGGGATGAAATGGGATGAAGATGTACTGCAAATATGTCGATTGGTCAAAAGACGGTCTTATCCTGTACATAATTACTTGTAGTTTAAAACAACAAAAAACACACAAACACACACACACCAACAATCAGCCAGGGAGAGTGGTTGGTCGCGCTTGCTAACTGCCCCTGGGTTCGCTGCAAGCCCTGTGCAAAGAAAATTTGCTGGTTTCATCTCCGAAGAAACATAAGAAACAATACATGGGTTGGCACAATCCGCATCAACCCTTTCAGTACAGCCATGTATAATGCTTTATAGAACCATCAACCAACGGTTGTGTCAACCAGGCATGAATGCCAAGGTGTAGTCTGAATAGCTCGCCATATCAAGAAAGAACTCCAATGCCAATGTGATGTGGTTTGCAATCACTCTAACATTGCAAAAAAATGAATATGTTTTACTAGGGGTTTACCACATTTCTTCAGACTTTTCAATTTTCCCTCTCAAGTTTGTTCCCTTGACTAAGTTGACATCCTCTGGTTGCTCCCAAACGCATCCAAGATTCCCAGGGGTGGAAAACAACTTGTTCTCTCCGGCAGCTGGCTTCTCCTGGATTGAGGCAACACAAATGCGCTTAGGTGTGGCTGCTTAAATCCTGGAGGAGCAACATATCTTGTCTTGGGCAGGGCATTGCACATATCAGCTCACTCACCTCTTTCAACATACTGCTACCTATCGTACACCATGAATTAGAAGCCCTGGTCACTGGTTAGTCACAATCCTTTCAAGGGGCTGCAGATTTGTTAAATGTTTTCAGGTTCCAGCAGGGTCTGGAGAACTTTGACGTGCAAAGTTTCACGGTTTTGGACCAGTAATTGAAGTTTTTCACCTGTTGTCAGGTTCATCAAATTTCATGCAAACCACTGGAAATCGTTTTGCGGGTTGTGATGTTCGGCTCACATGTTCCACATATCTACAGCCCAATCAGGCGGTTTGGATGGCAGTTTCTCCACCCAAGGCCTTGCAGAGGAGGCTACTAGCCTCAGTATTGGTCATGTTGATGGATGTTGATGGGGATATCTGGGACCCACAGCTGGACTTGGTAATGACTCAACTGCTTTGTTCGAGGTCCTTGAGCCTCGTCTCATAATTTTGGCTGCTCTCGGACTATTCATGGGGGTTATAATCAGAACGAATGTGCATATTGGGCTATGAAGACACGCCATGAATGACGCACGATGCACAACCTACACCAAACTGGGTTTGAGCAAATTTGCACTATCATGGAATTGCAAACGCTCTTGGCTCTTGGTGATGTCAATGTTCTGTCTTCTTCAATTAATAAGACGGCTTCTGGGTTGAGGTCCCATATTATGGTTCCAAAAAAGCACTTTCACTGAATCTCAGCCATGAGGCCTGGTCTTGCTGCGCGGAAGCCATGGTCTGATGGGCACACAAAATTGGGAACTTCAAGCTGGCCAGACAGGGCAAAGACTGATCTGTTTGGTAACCTGGTACATCTGCGAATTTCCCCAGTGGCATTCGACTCTAGTAGACATGCTTGCAACAGTGATGGGTTGCAGATTGCTACATGTTAGTTTCAATTGTCTACTTTGAACTTACTTTAAAGAGACTCAAAGCCTATCTCACACTGTAGCACCTGTGACACTGTGGCAGCTCTGTTGCATGGCAAGAGTTCATGGATAGTCGGGAACTTCGCTTGTTAATTTGCTGAGCCAGGCTTCCGAAGATGGCGGATGCAAACGACCAAAAACCTACGATCAAAACCAGTGCGTCAAAGAGTGATACGGATTTAGCATTTTGAAACTTGATGTTTGCATGCGTGATACAGCACGCAAAACCGCGAAGTGCTCTTCCATAGCCATTCGGTTGCCATGTTATCAACTGAAAGTGTCTGATAGTGTCTGTCTTTGCATACTGTGTTGTGACATTATCATAGATTCCAATCGTCGTTAACTTGATAGCAACGCGAGTACCTAGTATGGAAAAGAAGCACGCATGAAAAGAAGTGGCAGCTATCCCCGGTGCAGAACTGTTTTCAGAATCCTCACCCGGTCACCAGTCTCTGTGACTGCCCTTCAACGCTTGAGCACTTTCATAGTCGAGACCGGACCTATGTCATCGCAAAACATCGTAAAATATCGGAACAGTCTCTGGAGGCGAACTTCTTCCATCTCCAACTCCCCAATCTGGGTCTGCGCGAACTTCGACAAAAAGTGTAGCACTGGTTTTTGAACATAGGTGAAAAAAACGAACTCCACGATGACCTCTGGCCTTTCTTTGAATGCTTTGAGGATTCCTGCCACTGACTTCGGCATCACAACTCACATCAAAAGCACGGTCATTCCATTCTTCAAAACGATTCCAACAAAGAGAATTTAAAAAACAACAAAATCATACAAAATCCTCTATATAATACCCTGAGAGCGATTTTAATACCGTAAGAATGTAAGAATGTGCCGAGAGTTGAGACTTGAGAGCAATAGGCACAAAAACAATCAAAAACATCTGCCCTGCGGAGGAAAGCCAGGTCTCCTACTTTTTCTTGTGCTCATAAGGTTATTCGTCATCTGTATCGAGATGCTGGCCGCGATAGCTCTTCCGGCTCAGAATCATTGGATATGCTCGTGTCTTTTAGTTTTGAACTCGTCCCAAACGAAGATGAAAGTCAATAGGATCACCATCCCCAGTAGTATGGAAAAGAAAACAAATAAAACAATGCAACAGAAATGAAAGAATCAGCACCAGTCCTGAGAACATGCTACAGCTGTCTTTGCTTGCCGGGCCACGCTCCTGTTCGAGCGTGGCCCGGCACTGTCACTCGCCTCTCCCAGCATATCCATTGGGCCACCATTCTTTTCCCGCACTGTCTGGTTCAGCGACTGGAGCAGATCTCATGAGACGATTCAAAGCTTCCAAAATGTCCAAATAGTTTGGATGAAGCCACTTACATGTGTCCTTTTTGACACAAGTTCCTGTCACGTGATGCAAGCAAATTGTTCTTTGGATCCATAAGTGGTAATAGGTGATACCATCTGGCGTCCAAGGCAAGTATTTCGCCACGCAATCTTGAGGTCTCCCTGACACGTATTCCGCCTGGCGAGGAAACCAAATAGCTGCATCACAAATGGGACCAAACACCCTTTCTGTTGTGCAGGTGAAAACAAAGTTGGTCATGTCTAAAGCTGGAGGCTACGCATATATGCTTCAGGAATGAATTGAAATCTAACTGAAACATACTGAAACCATTTCAGAGGTGGGGCCAGGCCACACTTTTGAACACTTCGATGCTCGTTGCCAGTATTGACGAACCTATTGCTGGCTTATATCCCCACTGTTGTTATTTAATACCCCCATGGTGCGCCAAGTTGCAAAGATACTTCGATCATCTGCGAGGCCAACCTTGATTGAATCCGTTCGGACAACCGACGCAACCGAGGTGTCTGACGAGCTCGTACTGGATCCCACCTGATATGACCTCGATCGCATCAGCATCAGGCGGGCCCTGAACATGGAGGATTCAGAAAGAAACATTTGGAGTATGTGCTCAAATGATCTCAAATGTACATTCAACAGTTGCACACTTCAACATCTTTTGGGATGGAACTTAGGATCCTCTGCAGATCCTTAGGGATAATCTTGCTTTGGCTCAAGACTTGGGTGCCAGTTTGTAACAATGAGACTGAACGTTGCCATTTTGAATGTTGAAACCGCCCTATTTTTGGAGTGTTCATTTCTGAGAAAGTCCCATCTAGTTGACCAAGAAGGTTTGTCAAGGTTCCCAACTAACATGGTAACATATCGTAACATTTTTCATGGCCCAGCTTTCTCACAGTGAAACTAGTGAATAGCAAACATTGCGCAATCCCCCCATTTTAAGAAAGGGCCGGAGCTGCACAGAGGGGGAAGTCACTCCAAGTTTTTGGGTGGTTGGGCAGATATAGGTGTTTGTTGTCAAGATCCAACTCATCTGTGTCGTGGTCAAAAGATGGTGTATGACTTATGGTCATCCCACCATCACTAGTTTTTTTTGCAATAGATATATCATGATATTAATGTATATCAATGTATATCAAATCCAAAGGATTGATGACTCTGATGACCATCCCCCAATTTGGGCCTGGGTCTATAACATTCGCAAATCTCTAATGCTCATGGGGAGCCTCAAGTTGTGTCTTGCCTTTTGTTGATGGGAAGAAAGTCTCACGGGATCTAGTTTCGATCTCGTTTTTTTCAGCATCGGACCTCAGAAAATATCGCCCAACAATGCAAAAAACACAAATTTTACTATGGTGCAACTTGCGTTCCGTTCTGAATCGTTCTGAGCTTATTTTCCAAAGTTCGAAGCAACAAACCGTCGGCGTGTCAGCGCGGATTTTTGTGGTGTGACCTTTTGGCCTTTTGGACATGGGGTGCAAAGGTCCATGGAGACCCTGCACTGTTGCTGTGACATCATCGTACTTGATCTGTGTTCTGCAGTGTTCTGCAGTGTTCCTGAGCTTATGCCTGCCTTATCCAGCCTTCTTTTAGAAATGCCAGGCTGGGAAGCTGCAAATAGCTGCAATCCCCCACAGCGCTCATTTTGAAGAGCACACCAACGCAAAGCAAACTAAAAGCGCAAAAGCAAACACAAACCAGGAGCGCAAAAACAAACGCGAATGCAGAGAAAACGAGAAACGGATTGACAGCTAACAAACATAAGTGAAAGACTGAGATAGGCATCATGTTCGTTTTCCTGGATTTGACGTCATGATTTATTTTCTCTTCAGATTTTGCGCTTTGTTGCCTGCAATCACCATCAATGTTCTCTATTTACGCAGACTATGAGGGTACGTACAGCCAGTGTACCTTTGAGGGGACCATGTCGTTTTACCAGGTTTCATGCACTTTCAATCGTGACCCTTCTTGACTAAAGTGGCATTGAGATTCAGTAGTTCAGTTTAAGCATGGCTATGCAATTTCAGCCAGAGTGGCTCCACTGTGTCTGGTAAGGAAGCAGTTGAAGCTGTCTCATCGTCCAAGGTCATTTTCGATGCACTCAACCCTGGTGGCTTCACGAGCTCCTCTATGCCGTGCGTGGCATGAATGATTTCCCTGCAAGCAGCCAGGTAGTCGGAGTCGTTGTTGCCTGGGAGTAGCACCATTTCGACTGCAGCATCAACAATAACGCCGAAGACCTTTGAAACTTTGTCTTCTTCAAGGTCCTTCAATCGCTCACCAACAGGAGCTCGGTACTGATCAAGGATCTTCTGAGCAAGCTGCCGAATTGACATTGTCTCTAGCAACACCTTGTCAATATCGTAAGTCTCCTTATACCCATATCCGTCAACTTGCGATTCACACTCCAGTGCAATTTTACGAATCTTTCTAAAGGTCTGGATGATGGAGTCCTGCTCAGACTTTCTCGCACCTTTCGTTGCCCAAATGAAGTCAAGCAACAGATCTTCCATTGCAAAGGTGTGCCTGATGATATCATTGCAAGCAGTCTCGAAGGTGTAACTATGTGTGCCGGCCACCATAAATCCAGCCTGACCTGCAATGTCCATGCAAATGTCAGTAGACCCTCCGAAAAAAACAGCTCGAGTGACCTCAGGCTTTGAGTAGATAGTCTGGGGATTCCGGGCTTCCAAATCTGCGGCAGGTTGGGCACCATGAACCTTCAGAATCTTCGTGGCAAGCTGCCGAATCAAGCTTGCCTCTGACAAGACGAAGCTATGAAAATCGAAGTCATGTTGCGGGTTTGCGTCTGCAGTATCTGCACATTCATCCTCAAACATATCACCAAGATCAAGCGCAGAGACATTGATTCGTTTGAAGTAATCCTTGATGACGATCATCCGTTTCGGAATCTCTGCAGCTTTCTGACTTGCAAAAATCATGCGCGTGCAAGCTGCAGCCCAAGTGGTATGAAGGTCTGGGTTAGTTGCGAGATCCGGCTTCCTCATGTCCTCTGCATCCGCACATATCTGCCCGAAAATGTCGTAAACACTACCTTGCGCTTTGTCCTGGCTTCTGAGAGAAACTGAATGAACCCCTGTAAATGTAATTTGTCCAGGAGGGCTCAGCAGTTCACCAAGTCCCGTTGATGAGCATACCCTGCAACATTTTTAGGCTACTATTCAACTTGAAAGAATATCATTCCTGATTTCCTGATTTCCTCCTTCCCAAATTCAAAATTTCTTACCCGAAGCAGTAATGCTGTCGAGAGTTGTCGAGCAAATCTTACATCCTAAGCAAGTCAAGACCACGGCTACTGGTTTCTCAATTTCAATCAATGGATCTACTTCGGAAAAGTCAAGTCAAAACCCCAGCTGCTGAAACCAGCTGTCAATGGTCCTCACTTTCTGCATGTTCACTGGTAGGTTTCTGCAGCTTGGAGAGGATCTCTTGCGCAATCTTATCAATCTGCGACGTAGCTTCGAGCATTGCTTCTGCATCTCTGGTGAGAGCAGCCTGCGACATAGCTTCGAGCATTGCTTCTGCATCTCTGGTGAGAGCAGCCTGCGACGTAGCTTCGAGCATTGCTTCTGCATCTCTGGTGAGAGCAGCCAGGCCTTCGTCTTTGAAACTCGCAAGGTCCCTGATGGCCTTGAACTTGTTTGCAATCCTTGGTTCACGACCATTCTGGGGGTGAGCAGTGTCGACCCACATCTCGAGTTTTGAAAAATTTACAACAATGTGCAGAATTGTTGATGCTACTTTGAATGCCCATGAATCTGCGTGTTCAGATCTAGAACCAGTAATTCACAAAGGCTGTTGGCTGCAGTTGCTGCTACCACCCCAACTGTAAGCAAGGTCCCCTCTGTAAAAACAATGCTTCTGCCCTCACCCTCGTCTCAGAAGCACCAATCCACTGAGGGAGCAATGACAAATGGCATTCGGTCCTGACTACTATATGTGGGGGAGCCTGGCAGCCTGAAAGCATGGCGTATTAGATATCATTCAGACTTGTTTAAGGCCCAAACCCCCAACTTAGTTTTATGGTCAGGTCTACAAACGTTCAAACATGCATGTATGTGTATATACACATAAAATATTTATAATTAGTAGAATCACCTAGAAAATTCAACCATATAAACCAGTTAATGCATGGGGTGATGTTCAGTGACAAAGAAAATTCATGAGCAAAAATGTCACCAGAAGAACATGTTTGGTTTTTTCAACGTTGTCGGGAGCAGCCCTTTCTGATCCCACCAAGGGCGGAAAAAAAAAGCAGCCCAGGAACCCGAATGCTCACATGTATGTTAATGGTACAGATGTCGAAACACATGGACATGCAGTCACGCAGAACACTTTTCTGCAATAGTTAAGCTGAACAGTCTTGTACATATTTCCCCTGTTACCAGTCCGCAGTGTGGAGTGGAAAGTGTAGAGTGTGTAAAGTGTGGAGTGTAAAGTGTAGTGTGTGGAGCGTGGAGTGTCAAGTGTGGAGTGAGGAGTGAGGAGTGAAAAATGTAAAGTGTAGAGTGTGGAGTTGAAAGTGGAGAGTGTGGAGTGTGGAGTAAGGAGTGTGGAGTGGGGAGTGTAGAGTGTGTAGAGTGTGGAGTGTGGAGTGTAGAGTGTAAAGTGTAGAGTGTAAAGTGTAGAGTGTGGAGTGTAAAGTGTGGAGTGTGGAGTGTAAAGTGTGGAGTGAGGAGTGAGGAGTGTAAAGTGCAAAGTGTGGAGTGTAAAGTGTGGAGTGTAAAGTGTAGCGTGTGTAGCGTGTGTAGCGAGTGTAGCGAGTGTAGCGAGTGTAGCGAGTGTAGCGAGTGTAGCGAGTGTAGCGAGTGTAGCGAGTGTAGCGAATGTAGCGAGTGTAAAGTGTAGCGAGTGTGGAGTGTAAAGTGTAGAGTGTGGAGTGTGGAGTGTGGAGTGTACAGTAAGGAGTGTGGAGTGTAAAGTGTGGAGTGGGGAGTGTAGAGTGTGTAAAGTGTAGAGTGTGGAGTGTGGAGTGTAGAGTGTAAAGTGTAGAGTGTAAAGTGTAGAGTGTGGAGTGTGGAGTGTAAAGTGTAGTGTGGAGTGTGAAGTGTGAAGCGGAAAGTATAGAGTGTGGAGTGTGGAGTGTAAACTAAGGAGTGTGGAGTGCAAAGTGTGGAGTGTGGAGTGTGTAAAGTGTAGAGTGTGGAGTGTGGAGTGTAGAGTGTAAAGTGTAGAGTGTAAAGTGTAGAGTGTGGAGTGTGGACTGTAAAGTGTAGAGTGTGGAGTGTGAAGTGTGAAGCGGAAAGTGTAGAGTGTGGAGTGTGGAGTGTAAAGTGTGGAGTGCGGAGTGTGGAGTGAGGAGTGAGGAGTGTGGTGCGTGTAGAATGTAGAGTGTGGTGGAGTTCAGTGTGTGGAGTGTAGTGTGTGGAGTGTGTGGAGTGCGGAGTGTAGCGTAAAGTGTGGAGTGTGGAGTGTAAAGTGTGGAGTCTGGAGTGTAGAGTGTGGAGTGTAAAGTGTAGAGTGTAGAGTGTGGAGTGTAAAGTGTAGAGCATGGAGTGTAAAGTGAGGAGTGTAAAGTTGAAAGCTTGGAGTGTAAAGTGTATAGTGTCGAGTTTAGAGTGTAAAGTGTAGAGTGTAAAGTGTAGAGTGTGGAGCGTAAAGTGTCGAGTGCGGAGTGTAAAGTGTGGAGAGAGGAGTGTAAAGTGTGGAGTGTGCAGTGTACAGTGTGGAGTGTGGAGTGTAAAGTGCAAAGTGTAAAGTGCAAAGCGTAAAGTGTGGAGTGTAAAGTGCAGAGTGAAGAGTCTGAAGTGTAAATTGTGGAGTGTGGAGTGCAAAGTGGAAAGCGTGGAGTGAGGAGTGTGGAGTGTGGAGTGTAGAGTGTGGAGTGTAGAGTGTGGAGTGTAGAGTGTGGAGTGTAGAGTGTGGAGTATAGAGTGTGGAGTGTGGAGTGTGGAGTGTAAAGCGTAGAGTGTAAAGTGTGGAGTGCAAAGTGAAAAGTGTGGAGTGCAAAGTGTGAAGTGTGGAGTGTAAAGTGTGGAGTGAGGAGTCTAAAGTGTAAATTGTTGAGTGTGGAGTGTGGAGTGTAAAGTGTAGAGTGTGGAGTGGAAAGTGTAGTGTGGAGTGTGGAGTGTAAAGTGAGGAGTGTGGATTGTAAAGTGTGGAGTGAGAAGTGTGGAGTGTGTAAAGTGTAGAGTGTGGTGGAGTGTGGAGTGTGGAGTGTAAAGTGTAGAGCGCAAAGTGTGGAGTGCATTGTTGCGCCAGCCACACAAAAGAACTTTCGACACGTTATCAAACAGGTTGGAATGTCACAAAGCGCTGCGCCTGCCACGCAAAACGATATGACAACCTGCTTGGAAACCTTCGAAAAGGAGAGGTCTTGCAGCTTCCCCCATAGACACGGCGACACCAAAGGAAAACCAGAAACTCGAGACAAGACACGTGGGAGCATCAAAACGAACATTTCGTGCGAGACATCCTCCAATTTTGACACTTTCGACACGTTATCAAACAGGTTGGAATGTCACAAAGCGCTGCGCCTGCCACGCAAAACGATATGACAACCTGCCTGGAAACCTTCGAAAAGGAGAGGTCTTGCAGCTTCCCCCATAGACACGGCGACGCCACAGGAAAACCAGAGACTCGAGACAAGACACGTGGGAGCATCAAAATGAGCATTTCGTGCGAGACATCCTCCAATTTTGACACTTTCGACACGTTATCAAACAGGTTGGAATGTCACAAAGCGCCGCGTGTGCCACGCAAAACGATATGACAACCTGCTTGGAAACCTTCGAAAAGGAGAGGTCTTGCAGCTTCCCCCATAGACACGGCGATGCCACAGGAAAACCAGAGACTCGAGACAAGACACGTGGGAGCATCAAAATGAGCATTTCGTGCGAGACATCCTCCAATTTTGACACTTTGTAGCTTCAAAATCGATGTTTTCCTACGATTTTTCTTGAGAACCTGAAAATTTACAACCTCAAAATCGATGTTTCGCGCGAGGCTTCCGTCAATTTTCATCACATCTCACAAAATGCCACGCCTGCCACGGAATCTGCACACTCTCGCCACTTGACGCAGCCCTGCCAATGCGTTTTGAAAAACACGCAACACGACACGTCTAAAGTGCTGCGCCTGCCACGCAAAATGACGATGGCACGTCCAAAGTGTTGCGCCTGCCACGAAAACTGCAACCCATCTTCTGAAAACGTCGCAAAAATATTGCCCCTGCCACGCAAAACGACCTTCGACACGTTACAAAACACGTCTGAATGTCACGAAGTCCCACGCCTGCCATGAGGAACGAAGCAACGCGACGTTTGAAACCTCCAAAAATGACCCCTTCAATCACGCGGACGGTTGCGAACGGTTGCGGACGGTTGCGGGCGGTTGCGGACGGTTGCGAACGTAGACGGTTGCGGACGTTTGTGAACGTAAACGCAACGTCGAGCGAACACACCCTCAGCCCCCAGACCCCCAGAGTGAAACGGGAACCCATGCTACGCATTCGGGAATAAATTTTTGAGTATCGACAAAACACAATTTGCATCACCTTTATACGCAGAGTCTTCAAGACACCTGGTACAGAAGGGCAACATTTAGTACCAAAAATTACAAGGCACATTTGAATGAACATCCACCGTTTCTCCACCAAGTTCCACCATTGTGTTGGATGGCGGCTAAAATTAGAGGGTGCCTAGTTTTGTTTCGTGCTTTTTTCTGGTCTGACGCCGTTCTCCTTGCTATTTGCAGCATCTTGGACAGGGTTTGCAATATCTGAGATCTAAAATCTCCTCACAGTGTTCTAGCATTTAGTGAGCCTGAATCTCTCATTTTCAGTATTGTGTAATGTTTGAAAATGGAGCATTTTGCAGCTGGAACTTGTCATGGCCGGTGTTTGAAGGATTAGATTTCTGCTCCTGGTTTGGCTGTTTGATGTTGGGAATACTGTAGTTGCAGCATATTGGAAATTGACTCTTATTCATGGTTGTTGCAGCATGCTTTCATGGCAGTACTGTCGTGGGGCAGCATCTTCTTGTGATGCTTTTTGTCTTTCCTGTCCTTGTGATCCTAGTCCTTTAAGCTTTGTTGTTCTTGCTGTTCTTGCTGCTGCAGTTGCTTGTTGTCCATGTTGCTTTTGCGTTGTTGTGAGCCACGATGAAGCCAAGCAACACACCTAAAGCAGCATTCGGAGCCTGCATCATTTCAATGCTATTTGCAGCAATTTGGAGCTTGAAAATCTTGAATCTGTTGTTTCTATCTTATGTTCTTTGCCTTGTTTTACCAGTATGATTGGGGTTTATCAGATTATCCATCAACAACTCTCTACAACTTGTATTTGGGCTCATGTTGATGCTTGATGGGGGTTGTTCAATTAGACTTTTGTGCTTTTTTGCAGGGCAAAAAATATTTTTTCAGCTAGCCTTTGTCAGTTGCATGCTATTTGGGGAGGATGCAGTGCCGAAGCATGTGTTCTGTCTTTTGGCATTGCTTTCCCACTGCTTTTGCTGTGTGATGTTGGATTTTGTCTTTCTGGGCATTATGTTTTACTTCTGACCGGAGTTTCCCTCGTTGTTTGCAGCAAAGTGAAGGTTGAATCTCTGATTTGAACTGTCGCATTTTGATGCACTGTGTACTAATTAAAGTGTCTTGCTGTACTCCGTGTTGTCTTCACCATAGTTCCAGCATATCGCCAAGAAACCACAAAGCCAAAGAGGTCCAAAAAAACAACAAATTAAGAAGGCAAACAGCCAAACAGCCACAAAAGCCAAGAAGCCAACAGCCGCAAAAGCATACAAAAGCCGCCAAAGCCAAGAAGCTATGAAGCTATGAAGTTATCAAGCTATGAAGCTATGAAGCCACAGCAGCAGACTCAAACAGCAAACAAACAATAAACGCAAAAATGGCCCTCCCAAAATCGCTTGTCGCAAGCAGCAGGAATCCCATGGGGCGTTATGGAGCTCTCCCAGGGTCACGGTAGACAGTTCGACTTCCGCCAAGTTCAACACTTTCCTTTCAAAATCAATCCTGAAATATTTTCTGAGGAAAACAACATGACAAAATTCAAAACAAACTACCAACATGCACCTTTTGTGCCGTGGTCCAGCCAAAAAATAATGGTTTGGAAAACCTGAGATTCTTGTGAAATGACTACGTTATAGTATGTTATACTTATTTCATATTTGAGTGGATGTGCAACACGGCTCGCGAAATCGAAGCAGCCACTCAGCCACTCTGCCACTCTGCCAGAGTGGCTGCCGCAGCCGCTCAGCCACTCAGCCACTTTGGCAGAGAGGCTGAGTGGTTGAGTGGCTGCGTCAGGGTGGCTGGAGCAGCCACCACTCAGTCACTCGGAGTGGCTGAGTGACTCCCATCAAAGCGGCTGAGTGGCTGAGTGGCTGAGTGGCCGGGGTGGATGACAAACTTCCTTCCACTAGTGGCGACTTAGCTGTATGGAAGAGTTTTTCGATACATACGTAACTTAAGCCCTGTAAAGTTTTTCACTACAAGCATTGTCTGTGGCGTGGCGGCGTCTGAATTTGTATTGGCGGCATCTGAATTTACATTCTCTGCTGGCTCCGTTTCGGGATGATGTTACTTATTTGTAGGTAGTGTTTCAAGGCGCTACGGACCAAACTACATTCGAATTCTACCATTTTCTTTTGAATGGTTTAGACCAATACAACGAAATATATATATATATATATGTATATACATATTTATACACGTTATATACGTTGAACTCAAAATCATCATAATTGATCTTTCGGTCAATGTGATGCCGACAATGCTTTGCACAAGGAATTCATTTGCTGAGAAGGCCACTGCTTTTACTTTTATCCTTTCGCCCGTCATTGCATGCCTTGCGCGCTGCTGTCTTCAGCGCTGTGTGTGGCAGCGCCTGTGGTGGAAGGCCATGAGTGTTCGACGATTAATGAGGCGGATTTTGGAGCCCATCAATCCAAAAGAAAGCAAAACAGGGTGTTAGTCACGTAGTTTTGCTAAAAGAAGATGTGACACATCATGCCTTGACGCACGTAGTTGCAAACTTCTTGAATCAGCCGTCAGCCACAGCAATTCTCCAATGCAGGCACATCCAATTTCTCCAGCAGCGCGCAAGGCATGCAATGACGGGCGAAAGGACAAAAGTAAAAGCAGTGGCCTTCTCAGCAAATGAATTCCTTGTGCAAAGCATTGTCGGCATCACATTGACCGAAAGATCAATTTTGATGATTTTGAGTTCAACGTATATAACGTGTATAAATATATATATTTCGTTGTATTGGTCTAAACCATTCAAAAGAAAATGGTAGAATTCGAATGTAGTTTGGTCCGTAGCGCCTTGAAACACTACCTACAAATAAGTAACATCATCCCGAAACGGAGCCAGCAAAGAATGTAAATTCAGATGCCGCCAATACAAATTCAGACGCCGCCACGCCACAGACAATGCTTGTAGTGAAAAACTTTACAGGGCTTAAGTTACGTATGTACCGAAAAACTCTTCCATACAGCTAAGTCACCACTAGTGGAAGGAAGTTTGTCATCCACCCCGGCCACTCAGCCACTCAGCCGCTCTGGTGGGAGTGTCTGGACCAGCCACTCAGCCAGTCAGCCACTCTGAGTGACTGAGTGGCTGAGTGGCTCCGTCAGCCACTCTGGCAGAGTGGCTGGGTGGCTGAGTGGCTGGGGTGAAAATTTCCGCCATTGCGCGCTCAATCTAATATTTTTGCGTATTGATGGCTCACTGGGATTATGTAGGAGCCAGTCTGAGGCAATGCCACTGAGCAATTCCGAGCATCTGTGCCAGCGCGCGCACTTGGTCCACTAGATTCGAGGTGAGTCTGAGGCTGGGGTGTTTCTTGTCAGCAAAGAGCGACTCCTTCATCCGCAAGGACTGTTCCAAAAACTTTTCTGCTTGCTCGAAATCGCCTGCCCGCTGATTTGCTTTTCCAAGCGAGTGCAATACATCGGCAACATTAGGATGGTCCTTTTCACCATACAAGGAGCGATTTACTTCTGCTGACTCCTGCAATTTTTCCAGTGCTTGAGCAACATCCCCAGTCTGGGCCATGACATCCCCGAGTTTCCGCAAAGTGATTGCAACTCCGGCATGGTTGCGGTCACCATGTAAGGACCGCTGCATCTTCAAGGACTCTTGCAAAAACTCAATGCCTTGCTTGGAATCTCCCCTGAGAATAGCTACATCTCCCAGCTTGTGCAAGGTGATTGCAATTCCAAGGTGATCACAATCTCCGTGAAGGGACCTCTGCATCCGCAAGGATTCTTGAAAGAATTGCATGCCTTGCTTGAGATCTCCACTCTGCGCAGTCAAATCCCCAAGTTTGTGCAAGGTGGTTGCGATTCCCGGATGGTCACGCTCACCATGCTCGGACCGCTGCACCTGCAAGGATTCTTGCAAGAATTTGATGGCCTGCTTGAGATCTCCACTGCGTGAATTCAGATCCCCAAGTTTCTGCAAAGTGGCTGCAATGCCGGGATGGGCACGGTCACCATGCAAGGACCGCTGCATCCGCAAGGACTCTTGCAAAAACTGAATGCCCTGCTTGGTATCTCCACCCTGCGCAGTTAGATCCCCCAGTTTCTGCAAAGTGGCTGCAGTGCTGGGATGGGCACGGTCACCATACAGGGACCGCTGCATCCGCAAGGACTCCTGCAAAAGCACAATGCCCTGCTTGGGATCTCCATTTTGCGCAGTTAGATCCCCCAGCTTCTGCAAAGTGGCTGCAATGCCACGATGGTCACAGTCACCATGCAGGGACCGCTGCACGTTCAAGGATTCTTGCAAGAACCTAATGCCCCCTTTGAGATCGCCAGTTTGTTGACTCAACTCGCCCAATGAATGCAACATTTCTGCGACCTTGTGATCATCTTTGTCACTAATGCCAGAGCGAGTCACAGTCAAGGCCTCGTTGAAGTACTCCTTTGCTTTCTTGAGGTCTCCTTCTTGCTGACTCAGCTCTCCCAATGAACGCAATGTGAGACCAATGTCAGGATGATTGCCGTCCTGGCCCTGGCGCAGCATGTTGGTTTCCGTACTTCCACCTGAGCCGTGACAGGTTGACCAATGTAATGTCTGGGGTCTCCGTGACAAAATCCAATATGAATGTTGGCGCATGTGCGTGTGAACCCTTCTAGCGCAGGGAATGGTGCCGATAATCGTTTGCTGCGACGCCAACAGTGCTGCATGTAATTCAATGCAAGGGGGGGCCAGAGGATTGAGTGAAGCTGGCACCAACGAAGACCTTCACTCCTTCCTGTGATATGAAAACGGGACGTCATTTTCACGTACCTGCTGGCTTAGATATGATCACCTTTTTTTTCCTCGAGGCTGTTTCAGGTACAAATCACAAATCGGTTGATGAAGCTGTTGTTTCTTCATACCATTGCGGGCCTCACCCACGTGGATTTAACTTCGAACCTCACCAGTTTGGATTTAACCTCAGAACTCACAACCAGACCTGTGTGTGTGGGCGAGTGTGTGTGTGTGCGTGTAACAACTGTATAGATGTAAAACTTCTCCCTTCAATACTTTTTTACTCGCAGAGGGCACAGGTGTGACTCTGGTTCCTGTGCCAACGAAGACGGCCAGAAGTCACAGTGATATATCAAAGGGAGACGTCCCTTTGACGTACCTGCAGTGTTCTATCCATTTGTTGTCGATCGTCATGGCATGGGGCCAAGCCGAGAACCCCAACCACAACGATTTTATTTCTACACGGTTGCCACAATCTGGTATTCACTTTATCTCGCTGACATGGCAAAGGGCTGAGCCGAGAACCTTTACAGCATAGATTTCGCGGGACTATTGGTTTTGGGATCTACTTGCAGTTGTTTCTGGTCGCGATTGTCTTTTTCGGAATTATTCCCATTATTCGGATATTACCTCGAGGAGATCTACTTTAGGTCATTGGAGCAAACCCAAGTGCATGTGAGGGGATTCAGTTCCCAACGGATCACTTTACTGATCCATTTTTTGTCAGTGTGTGTGTGTGGGTGTGGATGGATGGGTGTGGGGGGGTGGCGTCAAGAGCAAGAAACATATGTTGGGGTTGGGTGGAGAAAGCCGCGGGGATATAGTGAGGGCAGGGGTGGTCAGGTGAATGGGTAATACCGCATATCGTTTACTAGTGTATGAGGCAAACTGCAAACTGCTTCTTTGCGCGTTTTGCGCCAGTCGTAGCCAAAATTTTGCCGAAAACCGCGCTGCGCCTCATTTTACGTGCTTGTCCCCGCCACGGGGGCAACCGCTGTACCAAAACACTATAATCAGACTTACTCCGGTGTCCAAGTTTTAACTATTCACTAGCAGGGTGCAACAGAGTCGCTGCATGGCTGTCGCCAACGAAGCTCCATGCAGTAGACTAGGATATGGAGTCTGATCAAAAGTACCTGCAGTTTTTCGTCATTTCGTTCCGTGAACGACTGTTTTTATTCAGTGTGTACAGACCAGAATCCGTTTCAGCAGTTTCTTCGAACAGAGTTTAACACAGCAGTTTCAATTTTCTTTTGTGCTGAAAAAGGCCTAAAACTGGAATCTCCAGATCCCTTGATGGGAAACAAAGTGACTCATAGACGACAAACGGTCTGTCAAGTGTGTTAATCTCCTGCATGGAAGTCCCTATCAGGTGCAATCAAACATGTACAATCAAAATGATACCAGCGTGGACCCCCCAAGCTGAAAATTGAAGTCCTTGTCCAAGGCGCAAACACCGACATACCAATCTGTTCCTTTTGGACATAAGAAACCACAAAAAACACATTGGGGATTTAGCGCCCTGTTCGCCTGAAACAATCTCATCCAGGTTTGAACTCTCGGCTTCCACCCGATCTGATTGCTCGCTGCAACCAGGGTGAGATGCGCCTGTCTGCTGGGTAAATGCATCAGACTCAGCACGAACTAAAGGGTCAACAACTGCTGAATCGGGATCTATGCCTGAAACCACTCCCGTGGACAGAGATGGCTTCAGTAGCTCTTCGAGTCTGCGAGTGGCGGCAATGATTTTTCTGCAATTCATAGCACTGTTTACAGTGCCGTCTCCCGACTCTGCCAACACCTGCTGCGCCATGTTCTTGATCACGACGAAGCAGTCAGAGACTCCTGTGCTGCTCATCTCCACCACTTCGGAGGTGTGCAAGGGAGCTTTGAGGATACCAAGGATCTCCTTTGCCTTCTCTCGAATCTCTTTGGAGCAATCCCACCCTGTGGATTCTAAGGCTTCACTTCCTTGGGGCCCCACTTCTACGGATGCCAACTCCACAATCTTTCGAAACAAATCGTTGACATTGGAGTTGTCCATCGGTCAAAACTTCAGGGCAGCCTGACTGCCAAGGAGAATAGATGGTTTGGCGGACTCAGACTCTAGTTCCAAGCCGTCAGAGATCATCAATCAACATTTAATCAAAATTTGGAACAGGTGTGATTCCAGGGGCATATGTGAAGTGTTGCCCAAAGCAATTTCGAAACCACTCTCAGCACAAAATTGATATTTCGTAGCCCGGGTGTGAACTCAAGAATCTGTGTCCACCTAGCATGCATCCATCTTGCTTGACTTCGTTGTTCTCCCCTTCATCGTTTTACTCTTAAGGTGTTGCAAATGTTTCCGATCACTGTTTCATGGTTTCACTTGGGCACATTTCTTCCCTTTGAGGCCTCACGGTGCTTTGGGGCAGCGTCCTGGAACGGGGGCTACTCAAAAAACCCTTGGTCATTAAGGGGTCAAAAAACCCTTGGTCATGACATCGATCTAAATCCAAATAAATCGTCATAAACCATGATCACAAACCAGCAAACAACGGTGAACAACCGAGAAAAAGAGCAGCTCCTGCACTCCGCAAGACTCACATGGAATGCTGG